TTAACCGCTGAGCCATCTCTCCAGCCCGCTATTGGCCTTTAATGGCAACCCGTAAGGAGGAAGTTATTTTTTCTTCACCAGTTTAGCCACTGTTGCACCAAATTCAGTAAATTACCCCACATCTGTGTACATGCAAGCAACCCCCAATTAATCTCAATGGATCATTAAAAAAGACATGAAATTTGGAGGAGGACATGTTGGACAGAAGGAGTTCAGAGAGAATGGAGTTAGGATAAGGGAGGGGAATTGGAGGGGAGTACGATCAAAATATATTAAATAAATGCATGAAATTGGCAAAGAATAAATTAAAGTTTTTTTTAAAGAGAAAGAACCCCTCCCCTTGAGTGAAACATCCTGTCAGTTAGAGCCCATTGGTGTCTCTAGCTAGTCAAGTTCTCCATTCACCTTCCTTCCTCACCTCCTGTCTCCTGTCCTACTCACTATGGAGAGCATGGTCCAGAATTTTGCTCTGACCTCCCTGTGGCTCCATGGTCTGTCATCTCTGTCAAGTGAATTAGATGAGACACATAGAACAGGGTGCAGAAGACAGGCAGAGTTACACAATAACATGAGGTCACCTCAAGGGTAAGACAGCATTGTCAAAGGGACCATCGCAGAGGAAAACACTGCCGAGGGTCAGAGTGGACCACATCCAGGGAGACATGTTGAGGGAGACTTTATCCTACTTCCTAAAGTCTCCACAACAGTTTTCACAGGGGGCATTTTTTTTATTGGTGATGAGAGCAGGAGATAGAAACTTGACAGGCAGTGTTAGGGACAGGGGTGTTGATTCTTGTCCTTGGCCAGGGCCAGAACTATCCTTGGTCTTGTCCTGGCTGAGGGCAGAAATGCCAGAAGTATTTGGGACTATTGTTCTAGTCTGATTTCTTGTCATCTTTCTCCTTCATTTACCCAGTTGCCTAGAATCTGTTAGTAAAAGAGTGACTGAAACACTAGCCCAGACACTTGGGATGGAGAGGCACATGGGCACCTCATACCTCAAACACAATTTCCGCTCTAAGTCCTATGGAAGTCCCTGTGTTAGCAGCTCAATGGTAGCCCATCTCTGGGACCCACTGTGGTTATGTAGGAGCTCTGCTTGCCTCCTATCTCTTAAGCTCTTACCTATGAACTTAAACTCCTTTCTAAAAGCTCATCTTCCTTTTGGTCTGAAAATTCATTCTTTGAATTCACAAGACAAGAACTCTGAGCCAGTGACTCAGTGGAGGTTTAACTCCTGAGTTATGCCCACCTAAGACTAGAAAGCCTCTGCTGCACTCAAGGACCCCACTTTTCCCATATTTGAAGCATTGGCAGGCCCACTTGGATGAGCTCCTAAGGGACTTCACAGTGGTGTGTCTGTTGTGTAGCAGAAAGCCTCCTACTACATAGCACTCTTATTAGCTTCCCAGTGGTTCAGAAGGTCTTGTCTCCATGCATGGCCAAATCTTTTAATAACAACAAAAATCACTAATAAAATAGATGAAAAAGAAAGAAAACATGTACAAAAATAGCTATCTTTACCGGGAAGAAATAGCCCTGCCTTGCTGGGCCTCAACAAAGTCCTGCTACCTCCTTTTTTCTAATCTGTAGCTAACCTAGCATCTGGTATTTTCAGTCTCAAGACAGGGATCAATGTGTCCCCCACTTCATGTGGAATTTCAAATTCCAAGGAGGAACAGTTGGTACTTTCCATTTCCTTAAACAAGTGCAAGAACAGGGATTGTGAAAGAAAGGATGAACAAGCATGTGCCCTTCAGATCTGCTGGTCAGAGAGCACAAAGATCATGTCCAGGGACTAGACGTGCCAAGCATGTGAATCCTACACCCACGGCACCATTAGATCTCCTAGCCCTTCCCCTTTGAGACCTGGTGGATAGTTTTCTTTGAGGATAGTATTCATTCCATTTTCCCAGGCCTGGACTTGAGTACAACTTTCCTGCTCCGATCTCTGTCTCCTGGTTGGTTTGGTGGAGGCTGACAGCAACAGGATCTGCACAAGCCTGAAGCAATCAGAATCCTGCATTTTCAGTTCTGGATTTATAAGCTGACAAGTAACTTAAGTCACTGGATTGTTGTAAGAGATGCTCCATTCCCAATGATTTTCAAGCCTTTCTAAAAGGTCATCTTCCTTCAGCAAGTTGGGCTTTGAGGTCTTTGACCTCTGCTGGAGAACAATCTGCTTCTCCCTTTACCTATGTCACAATTAGGAATTGGCTTCCTAATTCAATAGCTACACTAGAGTATGTCAGTGTGCAGAAATGGTTTGTCTCCTTAGGTGTGTCGAATCTTTTGCTCATAGAGAATGTCCTTAACATCTTGTCAACTTCCATCCAGTCTGTTTGGTGTATGCTGCATGGCTAGATCTCTGGTTCCCATGGGGGATCTATTAAACGTGCAGAAACAATGGCTCTCTGATGTTAGTCTATAGCAGTGCAGCTTCAAGAACACTGGAAGCCTTGCTCCAGCCCCACACCTTCATCTGCTGATGCCACAGCTGTATACGTATGCGCTGTGTGTCCAGTAGCAAGGACTAATAATTCTGGATATGTTAGAGCCTTAGATCATGTGGGAAACAAGAATATGACTCACTTTTGTAGGAGGAGAAAGGCTCAAAAAGGACCAAAAAATAATATTAATACAAATTCTCTACCCTCTAATGGTCACTATTCAGGACTACTGGGGTCTTTGAGAACAACAGGGCCTTTCTTTACTCTTGGCCCCTAAAGCTGCCCTGACCCCATGGTTTCAGGATCTTACCACACAAATTCAAAGAAGGAAAGTCACAGACCACAGAGGGTGTGTTTTAGAAATAAGTTTATTATAGATTCTCTGATGGGAGCTTAAGTGGGGGAGGGGAAGGAGGGAAAGAGGGTGCTCCTGTATAGCAGGAGGGGTCCCAGGAGATAAGGTCCCATTGAGCTGCTGGCCTGGGGCCTTTTTAAAAAACTGCTAGCAGAAATGGGGGTGAAGTATGGGGAGGGAGATGAGCTGGTCAGTCCTTTTGGCCCAACCAGGTGTCCTGTGCCTCCTCTCAGTTTCAGGTTTGGAGTCACTGTAGCCTCTGGGCAGAGCTGCTCATTTAAGAGACACCAAAGAAACAGGACCCAGAACTCTCTTCTGACATTCCTGGCCTCCAGCAAGAACACTCTCAAAACTGCTTCTTTGGGGTCCCTGCCCTACCTGACCAGTTTCTACCTCCTGTTCTTATCACTGCTGCAAGACAGAGGCTGTATCAGACCCAGAAAAGCCTGCAACGAGCAAGGCCTTGTTCTGAGGTTTTGGCTATACAGTGTAAAACACAGGCCTTAACTTAAAGAGAAAAAGAGACAGACTACTCTGTGCTAAATAGGAGTGTTCATGGCCCAGAAACACTGATTCAGGTTGCCCCAAATAACATCCTCCAATGTGGAAGCAGTTACATGATCTTTATAGTCACAAAAGACGGCCATGAATCAAGGCGTTTACCGAAGATGCATTGGTGGGGACAGCGGTAGGCAGAGTTATAGCAAAGTGGGGAAAACTCCACTGTAACTCTCAGATACTAGCCAATGACATCTCAGTTTTTGGGCTGGTGGAAGCTAGTGGTCTATTAAGTTAATCCATTCCAAGGGTTTTACCTGATCGTTGAAAGGCTGTTAGGTCAGTTACAGAGGTGGGCAATGACTGGCTCCTGAGAGAACTAGAACTAGCCCAAAGTAATTTTGGCTCTGGATCTACAATATTCTGACTCTAGAGTCACAAAGTTCTAATCAGCCAGTCAGCCCTGTAGAATCTTCAACAGAGACGTGTTTTGTTTTCTTCTGGCAACTCTCTGGAAAGATGCTCTACTCTCAACCTCCTTCAGTTTTCTGAGATACTAGGGGAGCCAGGCTCACTCCCAAGACTCAGGCTGTCATGAGGGCTGAGATTTTTTATCTTAGTCTAAAGTTTCTCCTAGGGCCAGGCCTGCTTGCTTTGGGCTGTGCTGGGTTCCAGGAGTGAGGTGCCTCTGTGCTGTGCCATCTCTGCTGTGGCACCCACACCACCATCCACAGTTCTGACAGCAAGTCCCTCTGGGGCTCATGCTGTGTCCTGCCCAGATGGGCTGGGGAAGAGGGTGGGGGCAAAGGCATTTCCGAGACCCTGCTCCACCATGGCATGGCCCTCAGGCTGTGGCCATAACTCTGCTGCCCACCATGGCTCCAGACCAGGAGCTCTGAGATGTGGCTGTCCCAGGTTTGCTCACCTGAACAGTTCCTACCTTGAGGGTCCTGCCACTTCCCTCTGCCCCATTCCTTTGCATTCAAGGCCTCACAAATACCTCTGGGCTTTTGAAGGTCTATCCTTAGGTACCTCCAGCCCTCCTCCTTCCTGCTTCCTTCTTCCTTCCTCTTGGCCAGGGAATCTTTTCTGCGGTACAATTCCCTAGTCCCTCCTAGACTCCATCCTTGTAGGGCCTGAACTTTTGAGAGGCAAAAGTCTTCTTCCTTTTTCCTTTCCTTTGGTTTCTTTTTGTTTCATTTCCTCTCCTCCCCTCCTTTCCCCTCCCCTCCCTGCCCTTCCTTTCTCTCTCTCTCTCTCTCTCTCTCTCTCTCTCTCTCTCTCTCTCTCTCTCTCTGGCAGTGTCTCACTCTAGTTCAGGCTGCCCTGGAACTCATCTGTAGCCCAGGCTAACCTCATACACATGGCCTTCTACCTCAACCTCTCAGTGGCCGGGGTTACATATGTGAATCATTACACCCAGGCTTTCCTCCATTTTCTGAGGAACCTCTCTTTCCTAGGCACTGAGTACAGAACTCAGAGAACCTTCCTGAAGGTCCACACGAGGAGGGGACACCCTTTACTTAAATATTTCAAGACAGCTTGCAAGCCACAGGAAACTCAGCAGACTCAGGCCCAGACTTCTGAGGGAAACATCTTTATTGAGACTGAAACTTCCACAGGGACTGCAGCCATTCCTGGACTGTCGGATCCTGAGCATGTGCAGCCAAGGGCAGAGACTGGCCCTCCATGGAGCACTACGCAGGAACGATCAGCAGGATATAATCCTGTGAACAGAGAGAGTCTCCTCATCTGTCCCCACTTCCCACTACACCTGCTCTGCCCAGATGCTCCTAATACTCAGAGAAGCACAAACATATGTCCCAAGGACACTAGGAAGAAGAGGCAGGGACTGACTGGACAAGGGATAGAGCAGGGAAAAGGGGGAGTCCTGGGAGTGCTTATGACGACAGGAACACACCAGACTCTGGAGCACTTCCTGAGACACATCGACTGAGTGAATGAATGACAGGGAATGAATGAATGAACAAACAGATCAGCCATGTAAGCATGTGTAGACTGTGCACTGTCTAGCTCCAGGTGGTGTCGCTCTTGTAAACCAGTCTGAGTAGTGCACTCTGCAGTTTGTGACATGTAACCGAACAACAGCACAAAGCATCCTAGTGGTGAATCAGCGAGTGAGTCTTGCCTCTCACAGGTCTGGTTAAGGGGCAGTGCTGTGGTGACTTGAAGGCACTGGCTGTTCCTTTTGGTCATTCAGAGCTATCAAGGAGCCTCGGGCCACCCTGTGTGGCACCTGCTGATAGCCCCAGGAATGGTGACATCATTTCCGGAGCAGCCACAGCCTCCATATTACCTGTAAGGGTTCCCCCAGTCCTACCCAAGTGTATCTGGGTCTCCCCGTCCTCAGATCACCTAGGCTGATGTTAGGGCTGGAGCAGCAGGCTGGAAATGGGGGAGCAGCACACACTGAATGGTTCGATAAACCGCTGCCTCCTCCCACCTCTGCACAGCAACTTCTGGTTGTTAAAAGCAGGTTTCTATGGTCAGGAATGGGGTTGGCAGGCAAGGGTCCAGGTTCAAGGTCCTGAAACTCAATTTCTTTTTTTTCTTTTCTCCCTTCCAGCCCTCCTTTCCTCCTTTCCATCCCTCCCTCCCTCCCTTCCTTTTCTCCTTTTTGAGACAAAGTTCCACTATGTACCCCAGACTGGCTTGGAAGTCATGATGCTTCTGCCTCAGCTTCCTGAGTTCTGAGATTACAGGTGCATGCCACCACTGTGGGAATTTTGGGAGGTGAGACACAGGGAATGAAGGGCATGTTTAAGCCTTACCTTTCTTACAAACTATTTTCTCCCTCAAATCCCCTCAAGGTGGGAAGGGAAGAGAGGCTGGACAGGAGACAGAGTGGGCCTGGAGGGTATTCCAAGGCAGCACCTCAGGCCCCGCTCTGCTTTCTGGCTTTCAGGTTGGCTGCATCTGACCTGCCTGGCCTAAAGCCAGCCTGGGCAATCCCTGGTTCCCACTTCTGGCAGTTTGCAGAGAGCAGGCACCAGGCACAACAGCATTGTTTGGGGATAGGGACACCTCAGTTCTAGGGCTGTGGGTGGGCGAAGACAGATAAAGCCCCGTTGGACTGCTTGTCACCTTATCAACTCTGCCTCTCTGACCCTTGGTTTCCTCATAGTCAAGATAGGGGAAATAATAGCATTGACTTTATTTATGTCAGGTAGCAATGTTCTTGACTAGCCCTGTGGTCTGGCTCCTGAGGGGCTGGCACCCACCCTTGCGGGCCTCCATCTCCTCATCTGTAACTGAGGTGTCATGTCTATTATGGCTGTGAGGCAGAGGTAAAATAGGGGAGGCAGAGGACTTGGAAGCAGCCTCAGCTTCTAACTGCATGGTCAGCACATGCCTCCTGCCCCTTCCCTGAGAATCATGGGAAGATCCCCTGTACTTACCTGGGAGAAATCCATCTGGGCCTGGCTGAAGGAGATGCCCTTGATGTTGGGCAGTGGGAGGCTATGTTCTCTGAGCCACTCTGCAAAAGGAAGACCAGAGCTCAGAGCCTGGTGGGCAGGGATGTCTATACACGCAGGTCAGGCCTGCTGTGCCCTGCCTGCTCAATAGCTGGGAACTAAGGTGCAGGTAGGTGGCCTTCTCAGCCCCTTGCTGGAGGACCTTCCCCATCTTCATCAGGTAGCCCTGAAGAGCATGCAGCCCAGGGCAAGCAGGCTGTATCGGGGTGTCCAACCTTCTGACGCTTCAACATGACAGTGTCATCCCTGAATGTGTTGGGCCAGGGAGTGTTGGGAGACCTCTGTTATGCAAAAGTCGAAGCCCCTTCACACCGGACAGCTCATGCTCGGGGAATGTGCTGCGGGCTCCTTTTCATAGCAAGGTGCTTTCTGGCATCTTTCCTGTCTCTCCCTTTGAAGTGGCCGCCACAGATGCCTTGACATAAACATGGCCTTTGGCTCTATGCATACCATGCCTTCCTGTGTGTGATTTTTACAGGTAGACAATAGTCTAGCAGAAACCCACTTCCACATGTAAATAGAATATCTCACAAAGTATCTAAAAGCTTTTACCACTACCCCCATGGTATATAAATATGCTAGTCTTCTCTTAATAGTCGGAGATCAGG